TTAAGAAATTTAATAGTATGTTTATGACATTTCTTCAAAATACGAGAAAAATAAAAATAAACAAGAATTAAAGCTTACATTCAGTTTTATTTCATCAATTGCGGTTTCTAATTCGAAATATATTAGTGTGTAGCCCGTGCGATGCACGGGTAACAATATTAAATAATAATTATAAATTAAGGATGATGGTAAATAAAATTAACTGATAATTATAAATTAAAGATGAGGGTAAACAATATTAACTAATAATTGTAAATTAAAGATGTGGAGTTAATATGTGATATAAATTTGTCTTATATCAGTGGTAAACAATACAAAATTATCTAGTATAAAAATATAAAAATATATGGTTAAAATATTAAAAGTACCTAAAATATTATATAACGTATGTAAAAGTATCTTTATATATCATTTTTGAAATATGTTAAGTCACCTAAAATTTTACTAATCTATTTTGTAAAGAAAACATGTCTAAAACTATTTAAAAAGATGTGAAGTATGGATGTGGTTGATTCATTGTTTGAATGGGAGTAATTGCAATAAAATAGAATTTCTTCAATTAAAGAATATGTGGTGAATCAAATTCTTCTCAAGAATTTTTATTTGTAAAATAATCTTTATTTTTATATTTATAAAATTCTATTTATAAAATAATCTTTATCTTTATAATTCTAAATTAGATATCTCTAAGGATTGGTATACAAAATCATACGGGAATTGGTATTCAATATTGGTCCGAGTTGTAAGGGCAACATACTTGTATTGAATCTGATTTAAATCAATCTGTGAATTAAAAAAATAGAATAACATGTCCGATTTGTAATGGCGTGTATTGACTTAGATTTCATTCAATCATGTTTCCCGATTTGTAATGGAACATATGTGTATGGAACGAATGGAAAGAGATATACAGATGTGTATGGAACGAAAAGAAAATAATTTAGGTTTTTAGTTATTGTTGTTCCGATTTGAATGGGAAAGATGTGTATGAAATGAAAAGACAATATTAAGCTTTTATTTATTGTTGTCCGAAAATATTCAGAAAATTTTCCAAAAGTAGTGTGATTTATATGTTGTCCGAAACTTTTTCTAACTATTTTTGTTAATTGTTAATCTCTTTATATATAGATATCCATCAGTTCATTAGTCACTGTTGTAGAGTTTTTTCCTAGCAAAATTTTATTTTTTTTATTCGCTCACACGCATTTTCTTGTTTAATCAGACAATATTTTTCATTTTTTCTAACTATTAGTTAAACAAATACAAGCTAACTATTAGTTAAACAAATCATATGTCAAGAATACTAATTTGTGGGTTAGGCAGCCATCTGTTACGCGAGTCAATCCGTTATATTTTTGTAACAAAAATGCATAATAATGATATAAAGTATCATACGTTTTTTATATTATTTTTTAGAGTATGACTTTCAGTTTTAACATTTATTAAAAAATTGAAAAATGCTAAAGTCCCGTTACGGCACGGTACCGTCAGCGTTTTTCACCATTGGCTAAGAAAAATAGATTATATTGTGTGGATAATCTACTGTAACAAATCATGACGAAACCATTCCGTCAACAGGACTTTAGCCGTTCCCAAAAAAATTATGTTATAACTAACCATTAGGTCCAACTAACTATAGTAAAACTTTATAAAAAGATATCACGGAGTTGATACAAAAGAATTATACATGAGATCTGAATTAGTAAAAAATAATATCATCAGATAATATTATTACACAAAAAATACCACTATATGGAATGGGGAATCTGAGGAAATTTGTTCAATTTACATTATGGATTTCAAGAATCTTCCTCTCATTCTTCTTTACTTTGACCAAGTAGATGAAATTTTTTCTACACAACAAAATAATCCATAGGAATTAGGATTATGCATATAGCTTTTGGCAAATCAACCCCAAAATCCATTATTATATATAACTATGCCTATGATCGCTAGAGTGCATCTTTAACCAAACACCACCAACCAAGTACCAGCAGATCCTCTCTCTCTCTCTCTCTCACACACACACAGACACACACGGAGTTGTGGGTTGGTGCCGTAATTGTACCGCTTGACCTCACAGCATAAATTTGACAAAAGCATGAGGGTGCTATAACTCACACTCCAATTAAATTTCAAGAACCAAGATTTCATTTAAGTTGCTTGCTACTGTGAAGAAATT